CCCCTCTCCAGGTTTCCTGCAGCCCCTTTAGGCACTGGAGCTGCTCTAAGGTCTCCCCTTCAGGAGCCTTCTCTCCTCCAGGCTGCCCCAGCCCAGCTCTCTCAGCCTGGCTCCAGAGCAAGATGACAATCTATGCAAACAGCACAACTTAACGAGAGGAAAAGAGGCTGGAACAGGAGATGGGCTAAAACAACACCCCCTCCACTGATGCTTTCCAAGAGGAGGAGGAGGATGAGGGCAGGCTGCCTTCCCCAGCTTCCCCAGTGCCCGCACAGCCGCGGTGCCAGCTAAACAGACTGTGCCTGAGCTACCCGCCAGCAGAAACAATTTGTCATGTGTCAGATCAAATAAACCCTGGTGAGGCCACTGTACTCCCTGAAGCAGACGGCTGCCAAACTCCAAAGGAGAAATCCAAGAAACCTAGCTGGCCGGTGTCAGATCCGAGTGCTGAGGAACCAGCGCACTTCTCGCCTTTAAAACACAGCAGCACAACACAACCTGTTCCTGTGCAGTGCTCCCATGGAGGCAGCCATCAACTGGATCTAGTATCAAAAGGAATTCAGTGCTTAAGTTATCATTCTGGGCTGAAGCTCTGCATAGTCCAGGAACTTCCCATTCCTCATCTGGTGGCACAGCATCTCACTCATCCTAGAGAGACATTAGGAAGGGTAATGTTTGTCAAAGAGCCTTGGCGCGGTACTGTGCTGCGACGGATCATCATCCACCTGAGCAAGCACTCCTCCCCTCCCAGCCAGCCTCATGCTCACTGAATGAATTCTCAAGAACTAAATACACATTACTTTTTTCCCTTTAACATGGTTCTAGAGCCAGGGTGGTTTTGCTCATTCCTGAGCTTCCCATGCTCTGGGCTTGTGTCATTCCAGACCTTATGTCAAGTACCCTCATGGGTCGCCTGTTTGCTGCATGGTCCTACACGAACCATTAAAGCACAGGCCCTGGACTCCCCAGCACATCATTCTCCCTCTGTTCTCCTACTGGGCAAGGGGACAAGCTCCTAGCCCTGCTCTGGGCACATCTGCAAGACTGAATCATGCCAGGCAGTGCTATGGGGAACCCAAATCACTCCTGCAAAGACCCACTTCAAGTGCTTCCTGATGTGCACAGAGCACAAACTCTCCCCCCCAGGCTCCACCACTGGCTCCAGATGTTGCAGATGCCACCAGGCTTCATCCGGGGTCAGCCACCTGAACCCTGCCATAGCCAGAAAAAACACTCCTTCCACAGAAACAGAATAATGGCCCCAAAGAGACTTCTATGCAAGAGCCCCAAGGTTCCCGGACCAGCTTATGACAAAGAGAGAGCCAGCAGAAGAAAGGCAAGAGAGCCAAAAGGAGGACAAGAGAAGCAGGGGATGCTGCCTCAAGACACCAAAACATAACTGCCTGCCCCAAACCCAGCAACAGAGCCTTGAGTGACAGTACCTATCAACAAAAAGAAGCGAGAAAAGGGAAAACCTGGCAGCCTGGAGCAATGAGCAAGGGAAGAACAAGGCAATAGGCACAGGGCATCCCCCTTGGTGCCAGCAGCACCAGCACAAACCTCAGCTGTGTGGGGATTTTATTCCCCAAAATTTATTTAAAGAGCATCTGATGCCTCATGGTAAGCTATGTTTAGACACCATTTTATCTGTACCAGGACCCCTCTCCAGCCACAGCACTGGCATCAAGCACAGGAGCCCACCTGGCCAGCCTTCTTTGGACAGGATTGCTGCTTCCTATGAGCATCTCGCCCATCAGCACGGCAGTACGTGCACCAGGAGAGCTGTGACACTCTTGTGGTGCTGCCTCCCAGCAAGCAGCAAAGCACAGGCTGTTACCGGAAAGCAGGAAGTGTTAAACTGAGAGCTCACGGAGGAGGAGGTTACCAGACACAAGTCTGTCATTTACAGCGATGCTTTTCAGGCACTTACAGCTGCAGAGATGACAGGCGAGAGCCAGGCTTCCACTGCCTCGCCCAGGCTTTATGTGCTCCCATTCCCACCCAACAGCTTTGGGGCAGTGACCTGGGTTCAGCTCTAACAGTTATTTTTCTCCTTTTTAGGAGCTGGTGCAGTGCTGCATTTCAGCTTCAGTCTGAGAACAAGGCTGATAACACACCTATGCTTTGAGTTGTTGCTAAGTAGCGCTAACTCTGATCAAGGACTTTTCAATCTCATGCTTGGCCAGTGAGGAGGGGCACAGGAAGCCAGGAGGAAGCAGAGACAGGACACCTGACCCAAACTAGCCAAAGAGGTATTCCATACCACAGCACGTCATGTCCAGCATATAAACTGGGGGGAGTTATCCAGAAGGGACTGATGGCTGCTTGGGTCAGGCTGGGTACCAATCAGCAGGTGGAGAGCAGTTGCACTGTGCATCACTTGTGTTTATTGTTTGTTTCCTTTTCCCCTTTTAGTTTTCTATTCTCTCCCCTTGTTATTTCCCTTATCAGTAGTAGCAGTGGTAGTTCTGTATTATGCTTTAGTTAGTGGACCGCTCTTATCTCAACCCATGAGATTTACATCCTTTCCATTCTCCCCCTATCCTGTCGGGAGGAGGGGGGGATAAAGGGGCAGAGTGAGCGAGTGGTGCTGAGTTACCGGCTGGGCTTCAACCATGACAGGGAGTGGTGAGCAGAGCCAACACCAGGCATGGCCAGTGCTCGCCCCCAGCCAAACCACTACATGGCCCTGGGTCCATTTGTAGGCAGGTAAAGCTTTAGCCAGCAACCCAGGACATGGCTTGAGCTCACACCTCTGATCAGAGGATGAAGGGGTATTACCTTTCCTTACTTTCCAGCTGTCTGACTTGGAATGATTTCAGAGAGAAACCAAGGGCTGTTGTGCTGCAGGAGCCCAGGGCACCTGCACCCAACTCCTCAGCAAATGCTGCTTCTGTTTTAAACAATGGGAAATTTCTCAAGTGCTAAGGGAGAACAAAGCCCACACTAAGTACCAGAAACCAGCCAGAACTCAAGGATGATTCAGCCAGCAACTTCACTCTGCTCCTCAAGCAATGCCTTGCATAAACCCAACCAAAGGAGCCCAATCCCATTGTCACTGATGAATTTCTTTAACTTGTAAAAGTGCAACACTTGTGAGTGCCATTACGACTCCAACAGCCTCCTGCTGACATAGAGCAGACCTTCCAAGCTTCTCTGCATTTACTTTCTATTTAATTCCTCCCCATTTGCTGGAAGAAAATGAACAAAATGCACTCAAGAGCCACTTGCTTATTCCAGATTTGGGGAGAACAATGCAGGATGCAACATTATTTTTACCTCCCAGCAACCTCCCCAAGCCAGAGGGGGAACATGTCACTTCCAGACACCAGAGATGGGCATTTCATAGAATCCCAGACTCGTATGTGTTGGAAGGGAACTTAAAGCTCATCCAGCTCCAACCCCTGCCATGGGCAGGGACACCTTCCACTGCAGCAGCTTGCTCCAAGCCCCTGTGTCCAAGCTGGCCTTGAGCACTGCCAGGGATGGGGCAGCCACAGCTTCTCTGGGCACCCTGTGCCAGCGCCTCAGCACCCTCACAGGGAAGAGCTTCTGCCTAAGAGCTCAGCTCAGTCTCCCCTCTGGCAGGTTCAAGCCATTCCCCTTGGCCTGTCCCTACAAGCCCTTGTCCCAAGCCCCTCTCCAGGTTTCCTGCAGCCCCTTTAGGCACTGGAGCTGCTCTAAGGTCTCCCCTTCAGGAGCCTTCTCTTCTCCAGGCTGCCCCAGCCCAGCTCTCTCAGCCTGGCTCCAGAGCAGAGCTGCTCCAGCCCTCGCAGCATCTCCATGGCCTCCTCTGGACTCTCTCCAACAGCTCCAGGTCCCTCTTGTGCTGCTGCCCCAGAGCTGGATCAGGCCTGCGGGGGTATCTTCCCAGAGTGCAGCTCTCTTCTTCCCTCAAAGGAACAAGCATCTCCAGCCCTCCAGCCCCTGTTCCTTCCAGAAGGAACAAGCCCTTCAGTTTTATAACCCTGAGGAGGTCCCATCTCTACAAGCCATAACACATTAAGCAACAATGCAACATTTAAAACCAAGTGCAGAGCTCGCAGCAGAACTTAGATCACCCAAGGCTCCTGATGGAAGCTTTCCATAGTGTAACAGTTTATTTTGTGGGCAGGAAGAGATCAATAAACTTAATTAAGAGTAAGAAGGAGGGGAAAAAAAACCCTCAAGTGAGTAACTGCACTAAAGCAGAAGTTGTGAGCAGGCCAAGTCCATTTTAAGGGCTATACATTTTCACTTCCACAGTCTTGGAAAAGAGTGACTTTGTTCTGTATGCGTATTGTCCACCATTTGTTATTGTCTGTCTGTTGATGCTTATTTGAAAAACAAAATTTAATTAAAGCCCACAGTAGTGCACAGCCTGCCTTTGCAATCAGCCTGCATTAGGTGATCACTGCAGTAAATGAAATACAGCTTCACACTGTATTATTCAAATACCATCCAAAAACATCTACAAATTAAATCATATTCTTGCAGAGTGAAACTCAGAAGCACGGTGCTCAGCATAGGCAAACAGTTTACAGGTGAAGTCTGAAACGAGACATGGAGGCAGTGTGGAGGTAAAGAGGTGCCAGAGGGCTCTTCTAGACCTCATTGAGACAGTTCTCCGTGTACCAGAAACCAGAAGAAGAGAGAACGCACCAGCGGCAGCAGAGAACAGGCAGCATCCCCGAGGATGTCACCCCATCCAGGGGCTGAGGTGGCTGGCACAGCCTGGCAAGCTGGGGAGGTGCCAGCACTCCTCTGCCCACAGGGGAGCTCTGATCACCTTTTGGAAACCCAGCCAGAGCTGTACCAGATGTAGGGAAGTGAATCAGGATCCTAGAACGGTTTGAGTAGGAAGGGACCTTAAAGCTCATCCAGTTCCATCCTCTTGCCACAGGCATGGACACCTTCCACTAGAGCAGCTTGCTCCAAGCCCTGTTCAACCTGGCCTTGAACACTGCCAGGGATGGGGCAGCCACAGCTTCTCTGGGCAACCTTGCAGCCAACTCAGAGCAGTGCAAATCTGGACTCTATGAGCTAAGAAAAGGGATGCAGAAAGGTGCTCTTGTGGCAGGATGAGAAATGTAGTGCTTTTGCAGGGAGGAGAAAAGCAAAGGGAGCTTCGGTTTGTCAGGGTAAGTAAAAGCACAAGCAGGTCAGTGAGTCAGCGCTGATCCTAGCAGCAATGCCTGATGCTGAACAAAGCAAAGCAGCACATTAAAAAGCAAGTGAATATTGCATGAGCCTTACAGCTCAGGCTTGAAGAGATTCAAGATCTCTCTTTTCCTTAATTGCATCTGGGGTGATGCCAAGTGTTCTTTGACAAATAATTTACTCTGAGAAGTTGGTTTCTCTAAACAAGAGTAGCCTGTTAGCACCTGTGAGCCTGGAAAAGGCTGTCCCCTGCAGCTCGGATGGTCCCACCTCCAGGGATGCACCAGTGGAGGTCTGTGTCCAGCAAGCAGGCAAACCTCCCCAGAAGGCTGAAGAAGGCAGACCTCTCATCACCCTAAGCCCTGAAGAAGGGTGTCCTGCATGCTGGCACACAGGGATCTTGGGAGAAGTGGGCTGGAAATAAAGAGGAAAACCTTAAAAGGGTACCTCTGGGTCCATTCTACAGGAAGACAGTAAAAGATTCACAGCTGCTGCCCATGCCAGGGATCAGTAACTGACAGCCAAGTTCCCACAGGTCCTGATGAGTTCTCATCAGCAGGTGAAACTATGATTTAGAGGAAAACCATTCCACCTGGCATATAATCATTGCAAGCTGTCAACGTCCAGTCTATGTGAGGCTTCCTCTGCAGAAAGCATTCTCCTTTGTTAATCAGGGACACCAACTTCCTATCACATTAAAACATACAGCTGCAGCAAAGGGTAACCCATTACACATCACCTTACCAGACCTACAATAGTAATGAGCACTGGGACCCCAGCACCAGACAGCACATAGCAAGGCAAAAAACAATGGAATACAGAAAATTCAGCCCAGGATTCTTCCTAAAGGAAAAAACATGATGATAGAGGGGTACTGGGAGTGACTGGCACACAGAGCATCCTTCCTTCATGTAGGATGGAGGCTCCGATAAGGCTGTAAGGGAACAACTGCTGAAGGAAGCACAGCACTCATGCACCAGCCAGGTCCTGGCTCCTACCTGACATGTCCTCCTCACCTCCTACAGCAAAGCCTCCACCGGCATAAACACCTCCCAGCTGCTCACCCGGACAGCCTCACACCCCCTCTGCCATCAGCAGACAGCGCAGAAGTGCCAAAGCCTCCCTGACACTTGAAAGCAGCACCACCAGCCTGCATAAAAGATGAAGATTGCTGAGCCTCCTGCAGCCTTCCTGAGGTGAGAGCAATCTGTGCTGGCTGCAATCATCAGGCAGAAGGAACACACCACAAGGTTAAAAATGACCAGGTCATTCACATTCACAGGTCTTTCAAGAAACGTGCTCATCCACAGCACTGCTCGTCACCTCTGAACACACCAAGAATGAGGCCTGAACATTTAAACCAGACTAGATGGCTACTCTCAGTCTGCTGGAGGAAATAAAGGGAATGGGATGCGTGCCAGGGAGCAGGGGTGCAGCCCATGCACCTCTGACAGCGCCCTGCTTCTGCAGTTCAAGGTTAAACATCTCCTTTGCACTAATTCCTGAGCCTGCCTCTCTGGAAAGCCGTGCCAGGTAATTAGAATCATTATAACTATTATTAGACCATAATATTATTATAGCATTTTTGCTACACTTGACATCTGTTGGCTGATAGACTTAACTGGTACATAAGAAATAATTGTGCATAGATTCCTTGCAAATGAGTACCAACACGGAAGACATTAAAGCTTTCTGCGTGGAAAAAGTTAATTTTGTGGAAGCATGCTTGAAATAAAACTTCTAAAATTAACAGTTAAACCTTTAAAAATCTCTCATTAAAGAAACTATTTGGGTTTAAAGTAGGCAGCTGTTAAAAAAAAAAAAATCCTCATTTTCCTTTAGATGCTTAAAGGCATTTACCTGGCTCGGTATCTCCTTTGGATGAAGCACAGGCATCTTCCTCCCACCCAGCCCAGTGACCCACAGGTTTCCAAGTCATCCTTCCACCTCCCTTTTCCTATCTCCACAGCAGGCATTTGAATTCTCAGGCAAGGTGTCTGACTGTGCAGAATAATCAGGACTCAAACTTGCTGACTGAAAATCCTATTGCATTATCAGCACACACCCTTCTAGAATAAAATACAGCTTTTTGCACCTCACAAAGCCCAATGGGCTTTGCAAACTGGACTTGGGACTTTTCCACCACCAAGATTCAGGCATAACCTGGGGTGGAACACAACCTTTCTGCTAGTATTTAACTACAGCACACAGACCCCCCCCCCAAAGTAAGGATCCAACAGAAACCACAGGAATGCTTCAGGGAAGCTGAACTTTCTCCCCTGGAACTGAAATTGACTCAGGGCACCCACCATCAGCCGTGGACCACTAAAGGAGAATAAACAGGGCACAGCTTCTCCATCCCATTGCTGATGCCCACAAAGCACAGCCTGAGTGAACAACTGTGGCCACGTACCTCAAGTTACCAACCTTGAGAGGTCGAAGAGATGACAACCATAAAGGAATCCTGCGTTGTCCTTGAATTCAGTGGGGTCCAAAGTTCACCCCACTGTTACAGCAATACACAAAGATGGTAGAGCAGGTGGAAAAGCACTTCAGAAAGGGACAGAGCTCTTAAAGCACAAAAAGGTGGACACAGCAGCCTGGTACTTACAGAGCTCAGGGGTGGTCAGAGCTGGTCCTGGTTGGATAGTGATGTTTTCTTCAGCTAAGGTAACTCCTTTTCCTTATGATTAGTCCACACTGAGCCCTGGTGGAAGGAGGCTCCTGCAACTGCTCCCACAGCGGCACGCTATCTGGGGATAAAAATGAGTGTAAGTAACTTGTCCAGAGCAAGCAACTTTTTACTTTTTCCAGAGCAGAGCAACCACATGGGGAACTTGGAATTCCTTGAGGAGGAACACGTATTTTTACTACCTTAGTCACACAAACATGACTAACTCCACTGAGGACAGATCTGTGGAGAAACAATGGGAAGCAGGATGCTATGGGCACAAACTGCCCCCATGCATTCCCTCTGCTACCACAGCAGACACCCAGGGAGCTCTCAGTTGATGCTAGTCCTAGTGAGCACTAGCAAGAAGCCCCAGTTACATGAGGCTCTTTAAAAGCTCTTAAAAATCTCTTAAGTCTTCAGAAATGGGGCACAAATCCCCACCTAGAGAGATCTACCCATCACACCTCCAACTAGCACCATGACATTAAAGCAGACTTTTCACTCTATCCATCCAACACTTTGAGGGTAAATCAGAAGAACAAGCTCACCTTAATGAGGTACACTGCTTATTATTAAGGAATAAAACACACAACAAAGCAATTTCCACATACACACTTCAGGGGATCAACGATTCCCTGTCACAGCAGGAGAAAACCGCACGTACAGGCCCTGAGAGCTCAGTCCAGGTCTGCTTCTATTCATTCTTTTCATTAATGGCCTGAGCGATGAAAGATAAAGTCCTTTTATAAAAGCTGAAAGGATGCCCAGCAGTTAAGAGCTGGGAGCACTCCAGAGGTCATGATAGGAATTGACAAACTGAAGAAAAGGTCCAAAAACACCCATGAATCAATGAAAACAAAGACAACAATGCAGAGAATCACACTTGGAAACAGCAAAACCAAGGATCAAGCACACTAATGCAGCACAGGGGGGAAGCTCTCTAGACAAGAGGTGATACCGAGGAAAACCAGGGACTGGAGTAAAATGCAATGTGTGTCAGCACTGTGACACCAGAGCTCCGAAGAGCTAACCCCCCCCCCCCCCCCGTCCTGATCCGGCTCCGGGGCAGCAGCACAAGAGGGACATGGAGCTGCTGGACCAGGTCCAGAGGAGGCCATGGAGATGCTGCAAGGGCTGGAGCAGCTCTGCTCTGGAGCCAGGCTGAGAGAGCTGGGCTGGGGCAGCCTGGAGAAGAGAAGGCTCCTGAAGGGGAGACCTTAGAGCAGCTCCAGTGCCTAAAGGGGCTGCAGGAAAGCTGGAGAGGGGCTTGGGTACAAGGGCCTGTAGGGACAGGCCAAGGGGAATGGCTTGAACCTGCCCGAGGGGAGACTGAGCTGAGCTCTTAGGCAGAAGCTCTTCCCTGTGAGGGTGCTGAGGCGCTGGCACAGGGTGCCCAGAGAAGCTGTGGCTGCCCCATCCCTGGCAGTGTTCAAGGCCAGGTTGGACACAGGGGCTTGGAGCAAGCTGCTCTAGTTTGCCTCTAAAACTGGAGGAGCTTTAAGGTCCCTTCCAACACAAACCAGGCTGGGATTCTATGATTTAAGAACATAAAATTCCCAGTTCTGCACTGCAAGGCCATGCCCAGGACTGGGTCTCACCCAGTGTAAAACACAGCTCCACACAGCTGCTGAAGGGTTTCTCCATCCCTGCTCCCTTCAGGGTCATTACCAGCTCTTGGCATTCAAGGAGAACCACCCATTGGGCTTGCCCTTTTATGAAGGCAAGGGACAATGCAACCGGCTTCATTCGCTGTAAGGGCAAGTTAGACAAGGTGTCAACCTCTTTCAGGCTGGAATTTCATCAAGTCCCAGAGGGAACTTACCCCATGTAAATCCGCACTAACACCCACTGCTGTCCCGTCTGAAGCCGGTTATCTCCCCTCAAGACAGGGGCATGGACTGGGAGGCTTTTCCAGCCCTGCATTTCATTTTAGCATCCTCCGGCTGGCCACCCCTACACCACTATGGCGGTGACAACTCTGAGCTAAATTAACAGCCTTCTCTCCCCAAAATACAACAGAGCTCCTCATCCTGCCCAAAGGGCACCCACACAGCACTGCAGAATGACCACAGCCATAGCCCTTCCAATTCATGTCTTCGTTACCCTTCACAAAGTTCTTCAGTTTGATTTGCCACCACACAGCTTTGGTGGCAAAGACTCCTTTGCTTGTGTGATAGGGGGAGGGATACTGACCCTGGCTGCCCACAGGGAAGGACAGAGCCCTACCCTTCCCCTCTGACAACCAAACAGTTCTGTATGATGGGTGCAGCCCATAAGGGTCATCACCCACCCAAGCCCTCCCTACCCCAGACAGGATAACTTAAGGCAGCACTTGCTGAATCATTGAAACAAGGCATTTCGAAGCAAGGGTGAGGCGCTCTGCCTGCACAGCTGATGGCACACACACACACAGAGCAGCACCAAACCCTGAGCAAAGGCTCCGCAAGAAACCCAGCAAAGGAGCAAGAGCTACAGATCTTCTACAAAAGCAGGGCTTGACTTCCAGGGACACTGAAGATTTCCCAGTGCCTCCAGTGTTTTTGGGGCGCATTTGAGTCAGCACTTTAGCAGCAAGCTGCCTTGTGAACCAAAGCCAGAAGAGAGCTGACAAAGCCTTTGGTAGCACACACCGTCTCCTTGCAGGGGCTGTTTCCCAGAAGATCCCCAGTGCTGTGTCATTTTTCACTGCAGGTGCTAAGAATATCTGTGTGCTCATAAGAAATAGTAACCAGCTTTATAGGGAACTTACCAACAAAGTGCTCAACAAACACTAATTAAAGCTGATTCACCTACTTCACGAGTGCAAGTTAAACATCATTGCTCAGAGGGGAAAGCTGAGTGGTTAAGAGAGCAGAGGTGGGTTATAAAAGCCAGAGAGGGCGTCAGTAGCAGAGAGGATTAGCACATAGAAAGGCTGACTATTATCCCTAAATTTATCCCAATAATCCAGTGCCTCACAAATACTCCCTGCGTAGCTGAGGTGTGTTTTGAGCCACACCGGCCCAGCTTGACCTCAGCTGCACGCAAGTATTCTTCCACCTCTTTGCCAAGTAAAAGCAGAGAGAGGTTGGGGGTGCTGGAGAGGTTTTCAGGTCGTTTATTGCTCAGGACAAAGAGATTCTCAACTATAAAGAGGGAGGAGGCAGCAAGCATTAGCACAAACACTGGTTTTGTGCTGCTTTGGGGTGCGGGGATGGAGCTGTGGGTTCAAGGGCTGCTCTGACAGCTCACCAGGAACTGCTGGTTTCCAGCTTATTCCTTTTAAAGGATCATGTTTGTAACCCTTCAGATGCAGTAACTATGTGGCCACACGGAGCGCTGACACTGCTCTCACCTCCACAGAAAAGTGCCTGGGACAGTATTTCGGATGCTTTCACCACAGGAATGCTTTGGAGGCTGTGGAAAACACCAACACCATCCAGGCTGGTCATTTTAAAGCAGGGTTCGGAAGGAAACAGAGGAGCAAAGGAAGTCCATCCTTTAATAATGCTACTGCCAGAGCACAAATTAATTCAAGAGGCTCACACAGAGCAGAAACCAGGTTCTGTAAACGACAGGGTGTGTCTAACACCAGAGAGACACTTATCTGCACTTAGAAGGCTTCCTACCAGGGCTGTGTGCTGCAGCAGCCTCCTCACCCAGACAGCTCAACCCACAGCAATGCCCATGCAGATTACACTCCTCTGGCAAGCGAATGAAACACTATCAGTGTAAAGCCATACTTTTCGCCTCTCAACCCTATTGGTACTGGGTTAGTTCTAGCAGCAAAACACTGTAAAAATAACTAACTTGCCCCTCAGAAAGTGTGCCTGCAGAACCTGTCAGTGTAAACCTCGGCTATCTTGAGAGGTGGGTAGTGTTGATGCTTTGTCAAAGATTACTTCTAACGCGAGCCTTAGGCAACCACAAACATCTGAAGGCAATATTCCAAACAGTGTTTATATACAAAATTCCACTTGCTCAGTTTTCACTCCCTGGCTTTGTTTAACAGTAATTTCATTAGTTCCCCGGCAAGAGAGCCATATGCAAGCTTGTGCCAATATAGCTAAGCAGTTTAAAACTCAACCCTTCGACTACCAAGCACGTACGCTGCAGATAAACCCACTTTTAACAGTGCAGAACCACACCACAGCCACCCGGGTACACAGGGGGCTCGGGGTCACCAGCCCGCCCTCGTGCTCAAGGCGGACCCAAACCACTCCCGTTTGGTTGAACTCGTGTTTAAACCCGCACAGCGAAAGGGCCTCTTGTCCGCCGAGCACCTTGTTCCACACCCTGCCGGCAGGCGCCCACCACAGAGCCCCGGCTGCCGCTCACTTCCGGAACACCGCTGCCAGGCAACTGCCTTCACCGCCCAGCCCGGCCCGGCGCAGGCCGAGCCCCGGCGTTAGAGCGAAGGGGGAATCACCTCAGCACCAGCACCAGCCGCAAAGCCCGGGCCTTGCGCCCTCAGCGCCTGGGCCGTGCCGCTATGCACGAAGAGCAGCACCGGCCCCGACCAGGCCTCACCGCCGGCTCCCCTCGAGGCAATGGCACCGGCGGGACACGTTCCCTACGGGAGGTGGCGGCCCAGCCCCTTCACGGGCCATGTGCGGCGCGGCGCGGCGCGGCCCGGCGCGGCCCGGCCCGGCCCGGCCCAGGGGTGTCAATACAGCGCAGCCCCGTCCCGCTCCCGGCCGCCCTCCCCCCCCCCACTCACCGCTCCGCACTGCGCAGGTGCCGCCCAGCCCCGCCCCATCCGCGCTGGCCTATGCCGATGCCGCGGCCCCGCCCTACCCAATCAGAGCTGGTGGATGCTGCGCGGCCCCGCCCCAGTGGCCCCGCCCCCTGCCGTGCTATTCCCCCTCCCCCTTTCCCCGCGCCTGCAGATTTTGCCCCCCACAGCCCCATGGGGGCCGGAGGGCCCTGGGCCGCGTGTGAGCGCAGGGCCGCCTGCCCCAGCTCGGCCCGCCTGTACTGCTCACAGGTGGCGAGGGGTCCGTGCGCTTCCTCCGCACCCACCGAAGCTGGAAGTAGAGGGACTGCGGTGAGCGCAGGCCAGAGTGAGCCCGTGGCTGCCTTCTGCCTCCCCGGGTCACAGCACCGAGCTGGTTACAATTGGATGGCAAAGAGTTTCCCACCGGTGACAGCTCCAGTGCCTAAAGGGGAAACCTGGAGAAGGGCTTTGAACAAGGGCCTGTAGGGACGGGCCAAGGGGAATGGCTTGAACCTGCCCGAGGGGAGACTGAGATGAGCTTTTAGGCAGAAGCTCTTCCCTGTGAGGGTGCTGAGGCGCTGGCACAGGGTGCCCAGAGAAGCTGTGGCTGCCCCATCCCTGGCAGTGTTCAACGCCAGGTTGGACACAGGGGCTTGGAGCAACCTGCTCTAGTGGAAGGGGTCCCTGCCTGTGGCAGGGGTTGGGACTGGATGAGCTTTAAGGTCCCTTCCAACCCAAACCAGGCTGGGATTCTGTGATTCTATGGGTGATGCCGTTGCAGAAAAAGTGGGAAAGCCACAGCTATGCAACCCTTACCCCCATCAGGGCTGGGCTGAGGAGCAGCTGGTGCGCCAGGATGCCCATGGGCTCCACTGAACACCAGACAGTGGCCAAAACCACCCTGCCAGCCTCCAAATTAAACCTGCAGGGCTTAATTATCTAGCAAAGGCTGCTCAGCAGCAGTGACAGCTGATGGGATGGTATGGAGCAGTGGAAAGCTGCAGCTGTCCCCTAGGCCAGTGGCTCACCCATGTGCCATGCTCTGCTGCTGCTGGCACCCAACAAGATCCTGGAGCAGGAAATTGATTGTCAGCAAATCCCAGCTTTCATTTCCAGTAAATGAAATGTTCTCAGTCTTTCTAGGTTGGATGTAAACACCTCAAAATTGGAATGTGGAGTCAAAGCCCACAGTGCCCATCAGGAGTGCTCCACAGATTTATTGAGGTTTATGATTTTTAGTGGGGCTTATGATTTTTCAGGCAGCTATGTGATATCTGGCAAGTCATAACTCCTGGCCTTTAGATGCATGAAAGCACTGCTGTACTCCAGCCTCTTCCTTCTCCTCCCCCCTCAGCTCAGGACAGGGTTCATCCATCCATCCACCTCTGCTGTGGTCTCCCCAAGGGGGCAGGGGAGCTGGATCCTGCCCTTCCCCTTCTTCCTGCCAAGTGGATCAGCACTGACTGGATGATCAGCCACCTCTGAATCCACCTTGAGCCCTCTCTGTCAGGCACAGCAGGAGCAGCAGTAAAACCCCTCCAGGCACCAAACCCAAGGCTGGCAGTCAGGCAGGCAGGGCTGGCCTCTCTGAAGCCCAGAGAAGAGGCTTTTCCCTCTGGTTGCAGCAGGGCTCCGGCCTCACGACAGCACCAGGTGGCCTGAGAGGTCTTGCTTTGGGAAAAGCACAGCTGCATCCTCGGGTGATACCTTCCTAATCCTGCTGTCTGAAACCACTCACACATCAAAGAGACTAGAAACACGCTCTGCATGTCTTATCCTTTGCATTTCAAGTTCTTCTGTTTGATCTGTTGGAGCAGAGGGTTTTTTCCAAAGGTATTGGAAAAGATGGGTGTGAGAGAGTAATTTGGGGCTGGGAGTAATTTTTCATCAACGTACTTAAAGACAATCACAGCACTAGGAGGGAGGCTTAATTGTGGAGTTGTGCAATTAGTTTTTATGTCACTGCAATTATTCTGTTGGCTACATATAAAGAACATGGCAAAAATGCAGCACTTAATTTTAAATCAAGACTTTATTCTCTTTTAGTAGGTAATTGATGTTGATCACATCACTTAGCAGTGACTATAAAATGTGCTATTTAGATTGTAAAAGGATGGAGAAAAGGACTAAGAGATAGGTAATTGATGGATCACAGGCTGCTTTGGTGGGAGGCAGTATTAATCCATCAGACTTCAGCTTGTCTTTGTTTGCAGCCACTTCTGGGCATCATAAGTGGCCCCAAGCGTTAACGGGTACAGAGCCACTGATCCCACAGCACTGCATCCAACAGCAGCAACAGATGAATTCAGCTGGTTCCTTGTGTTTAAATACCTACTTTTAAGGGTAAACTTTGCTCAGGGCTTGTCAGCCTTGCATGGGGTGGGATTCAGGGATCATCTCTATGGGGAGAGCATTGCGCCCCGGCATGCCTGTTCTCCTATGCCAGGTAGAGACCACAGGTACCACTGCCCAGCTCACACAGGCTGCCTGCAAGCTCAGAGCCACAGGCACCTCAGTCTTCCTTTATTAATAGTGCAGGGATGTTGAAAAGAGGAAATTTAGAGAGTTGAGGAGGAGAAATGGGTTATTCCCTGCAAAACAGCACTGGTGCCTTCTCAGCCAAGAGCTTCACAAGGTTAACAGTGAACTAGGCTCAGCTAGGCCAGTCCTACACCTCAGCAGCAGGGAGAGCTTGGTCCCCCCCCAGGCAGGATGATACAAAACTTGCCCTTGCTCAGCACAAGCCAAATTGCTTGAACCACAGTATGATTCATTGTCACAGTAAAGCAAATAAAGCTTCCCCTTGCCTTTTAACTGGCCCTAGTTACTTGATTTCAAGGATTGATGCTTCCCAGGCAGGAGCTGGAGGTGAGACAATTGCATTCACTGCAGGGATGGTGCCAAGGGCTGCTTGCTTTTAAAAATGCCCATTCTGTGTGCTGGGACATGGGGGCTTCTGTAGGAGCAGTTCTGCCAGATCAACATCAGCTCTGAATTGGCAGAAGGATCAGTTGAATCTCACAGCCTCTCATCACCGCCAGCCCAAATGCAATTTCAGTCAGTGTCTGAAAAACATAAAGAACTCATCCAAGGGCTTTTGCCATCCATCCCTCGGCAGCTCAGGAACAGTACATGGGATGTAAGGAACCCAGGGGCCATCCCTGCCTGTGGAGAGGCTATGCCAGGGGCAGAGCACCAGTGTGCCCAGGTGAGCTGCTCCCCGTGCAGCAGTGGCACAGCGCAGGGCTGGGATCCCGGCGGGTGGCCAGTCCCTGATGGCTCTCCCTTCCCTCTGGAGCACATCCACAGGAAGCTTGGCCCTGGAGGAGCCCGGGTGTTCAGCTTCGGGGCAAGGGCAGGCTCTGCCTTATGCTGAGAGCCCTGCAGTGCTGTGTGACTCCAGCATTTCATTAAAGCTATTAACTACACTGTTCATCACAGCCAAGTGGCTTGCCACAGGCAGGCTTCCCACTGGGCTTCCCTCACTCCTGTTTGATATCAGGTTTGGATTAAATTAGATAGGGCAGCAATGGTGATCAATTCAAATCCACTTTCCTATTAAGCTATGGACAAATGATTTAGAAGGAGAGGAGAATAAAGCCTATAGCAAGAGCAGAGGGACCTGGCAGGTATGTAAGCGGTGTGAAGGGAACATCAAGTTTACAGTGCCACCAGCTCAGAGGGGACCAGGCTGGGACCACGAGGGCAGCAGCATCGCCAGGGATCTCTGCCCTGAGCAGGAGCCTTTCCAGGTGTCCAAGCAGACAGGACCATGCATACAGTCACAGGGCTCAACACTGCAGAGTCTTGGAAAGCTCCTGGAAGCTCCCAACTCTGCTGCTCCAGTTGGGAGCCACATCCTGTGCTGTCACCTCCTCTACACTGCATTTAAAGCATCCCCACACCACAGCACTTGCAGGTTTGGGAGCAAGAATAGGGACTATTAGTAAAACACTTCCCATAAGGTAGAAGCAAGGAGACCATAAATCTCAGCAGTGTCACACTCTTAAAGGAAATGGTTATGAACTGTTATTCCCTGCAAAAATGGGCTTTGAGTCATCAGCCATCACCAATGCCCAGCACTGTATGCTCTGAAGTTGTCCAGCAAAGCCTTTGCAGCTCCTTTTCACTATAGCACAAGTGGCCATGACACCCATTACCTGGAGATTGCTCGGTACCAACTACAGTGCGTTCTGCTGCTCCTCACAATACCTACCAGCATCAAGGAAAACAGCCCTGTAAAACATCAACAAGGCCAAATGTGCCTTGCCCAGGAGCAGCAGGGCCTGCTGGAGACCACAGGGTGAAGCTTTTGGGGAGACTGGGTGGCAAAGAGCAGTGGGTGCTGCCATCCCCAGGTCATCCTGGAGAGCAAACACAAGCAAAAGAGATGGGCACCCTGTGCC